ATTAGGCATAAAAACAAAAGTAAAGGAGGTCAAAGATTCATAGTTATAATGGAGCAATGAACTTGGGCTAATAAGAAAATTTAGTGGGCTAATGACCCTAAAATGTAAAAGATATGTAAAAAATATAGTCTTGATTTTGTATTGATATTTTAAAAATATTTTTTGATAAAATCTTTACAAATAAAACACTACTAAATATATATATATAAAATATTTTAAAAAATTAATAGCCCATGGGCTGGCCTCTGAGGCTTGCGGGTTGGCCCTACGAGGCTACGGGCCAAACGAGGCTGGGCTAAAAAGCCTCGTTCCTAAATGGGCCAAAAAAATTAAGCCCAACCCCACTTAATTCAAGGGTTGGGTTGGGCCGGCCTCGCGGGCCAAGCCCATTTTGACGGCTCTAATTCTGGCAAATGGAACGATGGAAATTGTTACGTTAATTATACTATTAAGGAGATCGAAATGCAACATATAATGAGTTGTATAATATAATTGCATATCAACTTGATATCGATGTGACTAACAAAATACTAATAATACAAATATAATAGAATATGATATTGCATACAAATATTTGTAACTTGATCAAACAGCACTGATTAAATTAAAATATTCCATCCATACCAAAAGGGATTGAGGCAATATTTTGTTTTGGGAGAGTATCATATTTTGAATAAAAAATACTAATAAAATATTACTCTGAATAACATTTTGTACTTTAATTTACTATGTCACACGTTAACTTTTGTTTGTTACAATTTTCAAATAAAATATTACGTAAACCGTTGCTATACATTATTTTTGTTTCAAAAGATTGTATTGGTGTTGTCAATTATTGTATATAATGAATAATTATAAGTATAACTTACATAAATCACATAGTATAAAGAGTAAATTACATTATATTCCTACTTTTTTTTAATTACAATAATCCTTAAAATGTGTACCTTTCGAATACATAAGTCACCATTCGGATACATTAATTCACCATCCGGATACATTAATTCTAATACAAGAAAAATCTTTCCGCTTAAAAGGAATAAAATCTGAAAATTAATTAAATTTTACGCTTATGTTTCTTCTTACTCTCAATCATACAAAGGCAAATCCTAATAGAACGAAAAAATTCAAAATTTCAAATTGCTCCCCGTTCAACGAAGAAACCTTTCAGATTTGATTCAAAAACTTTTGACGAAATTTTGGGTAAGCGAGGTGAGTTATGAAGGATACAAAAGTGATGAAATTGTTGTTGGACAAACGATATCCTTTTGAATCTTCAAGTTCATCGAAGATCCTTTCAATTTTGATTCAAGATTTTCAAAAAATTTGAGATTCAAGATTATTTCTTCTCCCAGTTCAGCGAAGATCCTTTCAATTTTGATTCAAAATTATTGAAAATTTTGAGTTTCAAAATTATTCTCCTAGTTCATTGAAGATCCTTTCAATTTTGATTCAAAATTATTGAAAATTTTGAGTTTCAAAATTATTCTCCTAGTTCATTGAAGATCCTTTCAATTTTGATTCAAAATTATTGAAAATTTTGAGTTTCAAAATTATTCTCCTAGTTCATTGAAGATCCTTTCAATTTTGATTCAAAATTGTCGAAAAAATTTAGAAGATACATCATCAATATCTTTGCTACTTAGCATTTTACTATTTATGTATCTTGTTTAAATTGATAAGTATTGTATTTATACTAGATACATTAAATAAATAATTGTTACCCATAAAATGTTAGATTTGAGATCGATACATTAGCGTGTGGTAGTTGCTATGTAATTGATACATTTAGTATAAATTCGAATTTACGTATCATATCTAAAAAAATAAGTGCATG